TGGCCATGTTCTGCAATGAGAACAGGGATCACATTAAGTCGCTCAACCGACTGGACTTCATCACCAATGAGAGTGACCTCATGTACGACAATGTAGTCAGGCAGCTGCTGGCTGCACTTGCGCAGTCCAACCAAGATGCCACACCCACTGTGAGGGAATCTGGGATCCAAACAATTGATCCCAATATGGATCCTTCTGACCTCGGGGTTCGAGAGATGGGTGGTGAGCCGCTGGTCGTCAAACGACCTCGTAAGAAGATTAAATGGATCCCAACCTCAAATCCTCTTCCTCAACCATTTAAGGTAAGGAAACATGTTTCCGAATGCAAAATGTACTATCCTCTAGAAGCAGATTGACCCTTACTTTAAATACTGACTCAGTGGAGCGCACATACCTTTTTTGCGCCACGGACCGGTTTATGCCGACAATATTTTCATGGACCGGCCTTTAAGGTGTCGCGGATAAATACAACAAAATAAAACTAGTACCGGTACCGAAAAAAAGAAGATTTATTTATAACACACGTGAAAAGACCCAGGAAAACCGAGTTAACGATAAAAACGATAACAAAATAACGCTGAAAACCGATAAAAACCCTGAAAACCATACATTTCACACCTGAGCCTCAACTCACGGTCCGGTACCGGTCCGAGGCCCGGGGGTTGGGGACCGCTGCTCTAGGCCATAATCCTTCAAATGGTGTAATAGTAACTCTTGATAAGGGCCTTTTTCACTGAAGAGGCATAAGAAGCAGCTTTCTTTTAGGACTTACAATATATGCAAAATAGTAAGGAGAAGACTTCATCTGTTGCTGTTGAAGACTTGAACTGACCTCTTTTTATTTTCTGTCCAATGTGAAGGAACCTCTCACCCTGACACGGCTGGAAAATAACACAAAGCAGGAAAAACCCAAACCTCTCAGACGAAAAATAGTGGCAGACAGCATTATTGCACCTCTTCTGGATAACAAGAGCACACAGCATCCTTCAACAAAAGGTATCGGGTAGTTTGAATATGTAGTAAGAAAGACATTTTAAAGCTTTTATAATTAGTTTAAATAAGTTAGGCGCACTATGAAACATATGTTCTTATGTATCTAGTATCTTATGTATTATGTAGGCGAATTCTGTGACCATAAAATGAACTGAGACACTTTAAACAACACTCTTGATGGGTGGTCTCCCCATCTGCTCTAATGATCTACTTATTTTCTGATTGTAGATGTAAGTGGAATGGAGAAAAAGCATACACGCAACTTCTCTTTGGATGTCCACCCGTATATGTTGACAACTCGCAAGCCCAAGGTGGAGACCACAACCACAGAACCTCTACCCTCAGAGCACAACATGGATACAGTGTACCTTGAAGGCACACACACTGTGGTTCATGTGTCCAGTGCAATTACAGGTAGCTCTCGTTGTCCTTATGCCTGAGACAGAGATATCACTTCATTTGGATGTGCCTTTCATAGTGCATTTCTACAGCAGGACAGTGGGCATAGCTATTTACAACATACACATTCTACTTGCATACGATGCTTGTGCTGCATGGCCAATCACCTTTGGCCAGCTAATATGTTTACTTTCTTTCTCTTTATCTCCCATTTTTATTCTATATATTTATTTGATTACAGAGAATAAGATTCGCTCTCCAGAATCAACCAACGCTGCCTTCTCTGCAGAGACCCTGTCCACCACTACATATGTAAATGGAGTTAGCCCCAACCCTCCCTCCAGTGAAGATGCGCTCAGTCCCAAGTCCTCACCTCAACAATTGGGGCCTTCCACTCAGAAGGAAAATGCTGAGTCTCAACCACCTCCACTAACAAGAGCACCCACACACCAGCTACTGAGTATGCATCGTACTCTCTTTGAGGAAGAAGAGGATGAAAGCGGGAGGGACAGGCTGGCAGAGAGGCCCGGGGAGCTCATCGCTGCAGGAGAATGTTGAGGAAGAGGAGAAGAAGAAGAGGAACCGTGACTGAGATTATTTTCCCTGACACTGCACTCTACACACATAACCTCCATGCCAGTCACCTTCTATCAGCTGCCACCTCTGATCTTTCAATTAACTTCTGTACTTCCAGGATTGTTGGAGCAGAAATGGAATAGATGTGACTTGGGAAGACTCTTGTGGCAAAGCTGAGCTTTCAGAAAGGATAAACTGAGAGATATATGTTTCGTTACCTGTGTTGACCAGCTTATTACTGTAGGAAATGATGTCACACTCATGTCTCAGGATGACTGTGTATAGCTAATCACCCACCAATGAAACCAGCAGTGACATAATTCAACAGGGTGCTACAGTGCAGGGTCACACAGTTATATTGAAAAAGTATATAGACAGGGTAAAGAGCGAGGAGTGACTTTCCTAATAAGAATTTTAAAAAAAAGGCAGACACTTTAGAAATGCAAATCTGCAACATCAAACAAAATGTATTTTAATCACATGATAACGCTTAGTCCCTTTATCCCACTAGCCAAGTAGAAAGGTAGCTCATGCAATACAGTTGTTGAGATCTGCACAATTAATATGCAAAAGATCACAGTATAATTGTGGCAATAATGTATGCGCTTAGAACATCTTATTCCACACGCTGTACATGTATAGACACTGTATATGACTCACTGCTTGTGGGGTGTTTAAATATGACATGTTTCATGGCTAACTACTGCCATTTCACAATTGCATAAGAACACGATTCTTAACTATACCTGCACGCCATTTGAAAGTACAGCAGACAGCAGACTGCCCATTGAAAGCGTGACTTTGTAAAACAAAGTAGAACTGTAATACTGCTTAGTGAAACTAATGCCAGATATGTTTTGATGCTGTAAAAAAAGGCAGTTACAGTGATGTGTTCTTTTTGAAGACTTTAATAGCAGCTCTGAGATGAAGGGAGCTGGACTCACTGGTAAAATATGATCTTTTGTGTTCTGTTGGCTTCTTGAGGAAGTGTCTAATGTGAAGTGAATGTATAGATGAGCAGGATAAGGGTTTTATAAGAATGACTAAGGTTTTCATTATCTGTTATAAACACACAGTCTATTTTTTTTGCATTTCTTGCAGCTGCATACATTAGGGCACAGAGATTAGAATAAAGGAACTGCCTGCACTGACTCAGAAACCAACAGGACATCAACTGTAGAAGACATTAGTCTCATTTTCAGGGCCTACCTAAAGAATGGGTAGACCTATGCATACCTTTTTTTCTGGGGCATTAAAATTAAATAAATCTTTTGTCTTGGTGATACTTCATCTCCATAGGCTAGCTCAAAATCCCCTTGTTAGAGACAACTTAAGCACACTAAATGCATCCAAAAGCACTTTAGGACGAGTAGTACTAGTGTGTGAGAGCACATTGTATCAGAGCTCTGCTTTAATATGATTTTACTGTGTTGATTTACACATTAGGACTGTTGCCCTGCGAAAACCTTTAGCAGTCCTAATGCGAGTAATCACATGGATAATATGGCTTTGGTTGTAACGTGTGAAATGTTCATAAAAAAGGATTAAAAACGTTATCTTTATAATTAAATCCCCCAAAATGCGTCTCAACAATCAATGACTACACATACCAGAATGCACCGCGGCTGTCAGATACAGCCTGACACTGTGCTGCTGTACTAGCGGAGAGCACTCTGGCAGAAGGGCCGACTTAGTAAGTAACAGGTCTTTGTTTTTATAGACAACTATCGCGTATAGTATCTTATATCTCGTATTTCAGATTCGCATTTATTTAAAAAAAAAATCCTCTTCTTTAAATTCCTCTAATTAGACCAGATTCCTGG